GAAATTAGAGGTAGCTTTTGAGGTAGTTGTTGAAAATTTAATCTGTAGTTTTAAAAATAAAATGTTGATTTTTATATGTAACAGCTAGTCAACCGCTACTTTACCGAACCCTCATATCTAAATTATTTATCTTCACAGCTAACAGCTTGTTGACAGCTAACAGCTACATGCACAGCTCACAACTATCTCCACAGCTACAGCTACCTCCACAGCTATATTTTGCCAAACATACCAATTAACTTAAACTCCATCTCTTTTACGTGTTTAGTCCAACGCATGGGCAAAGTTTCATTTATCTTCTTTATCATTATATATATATATATATATATATATATATATATATATATATATATATATATATATATATATATATATATATATATATATATATAGGGGAGGGATCCAGTGAGAATAGGTCCATATGTGATAATTCATACTTATATGAGAACTGATTTAAAATTTAGAATATGTGAGTAAAAATTTAGAACATGTGAATTAAAATTTAAAACATGCGAGTTAAAATTTAGAACATGTGACTCAAATTAAAATTTTAAACATATGAGTAATAATTTAGAACATTTGTGTGAGTAATATGTTTAGAACATTTGTGTGAGTAATATGTTTAGAACATCTGATTTAAGAAATAGAACAAGTGATTAAAAATTTATAAAATTTGCTTTATGAAATTTTAAACATATGAGTAAAATTTAAACATATTATTTAAGATTATGAACATGTGAATAAAAATCTAGAACAAACTGATATAGAATATAGAAAGTGTGAGTAAAGAATTTAGAACATACGAGTAAAAAAATAGAACATACAATTTAAAATCTGGAACATATAATTAAAAATCTTAAAACACACATTGTAAAATTTAGAACATACAATTTAAAATTTTGGAACAAGTTATTTAAAATTTATGACATCGAACTTAACTAATTTATGGTTTAGAACATGTGAGTACTAAATTAAAACATTTGATTTAATTTAGAACACTTAAGGAAAAGTTTAGAACATCAGATTTAAAATTTAGAACATACGAGTAAAAATTTAGAACATAAAGAGTGTTTCCACATAAGAAAATTTCTCACGAGAGCCTTCCCATAGACAATAGTTCAATTAATAATAGGAGTACTTTTTAAAATTAAAAACAAAATCAATAGGACTTGCTAGTTGGTAATCACAATTCCAAATTATGTTTTGAACAAAAATGTTTAAATGCAGATAATATGTTAATCGGTCCAAACCAGTCCGATTCAGATGGCAAAAAAATGGTTAGACAAAAAGAGGGCACGTAAACATGATACGGCTTAGTTCACATGATTTATTAGGAGTTGACTAAATTTGTGTTAATGTAACAAGAAGGTTTCTTCTTTGATTTGTTTATTACTTACTTTACAAGATAAATAAACATAAGCTCTACATGTCACTCATGAGTGACATGACATGAATGATACCTTTTGGAAATAGACAACCTTTTGTGTAATGTCCCTAAATTTAAAACTATAATTGTTTAATTATTGTTTAATTGATTTAGTAATCATGATGATTAATTTTCTTCTTAAGATACGTCCTCAATCAAACTTTGAGAGGATCGTTTCAACTTTTTGAGCCAATCTCTCGTGAAAACTGATCAATACTACATGAATATTATCATGTCTTAGAATTCAAGTCATTCAAATTATGGCCTTTTTGAGGTATTATTGAAAATAACCTTTAATTTGGCTCTTTTCATTTGTTGGAAGATGTTCGGTTGTGGTTTAACGTCATTAGGTAAAAGGTATTTTTATAATTTTTTATTAGGCATTTAGTTAATTAATTAATTGATTAATTATTCCACTTACGCTAAACAATACAATTAAGATATCATTATTGGTGGGCAATACCCTTTTAGAAATTGTTATTCTAGCTTCATAATGTGGTTTTCCTATAGGGGATAAAGATTAGTATAAACTAAATTAAGGTTCTTAATCTAATCGGTTCGTAAAGTGACGTGTTTTGGTTCCTAATTGGGAATTAAAAAGTGTTGTTTTGCAAATGAATATCATCAAAGATTCCCTGATAATTATATAAATATGATTAACTATTAATTAAATTTACACTTGAGCATACTCTACAAGCAAAACATTAATAGATCATGGAATTGTATAATTTGTATAGTTGAAGATAACCGAAAGTAATAACTATGGACTTCCCTTTTCAAGAAAAGTTTCAATCCTATTATTTCTCCAATAAATCATGTACAGAATTTTCCCTTTTTTCACCCTTTTAAAATTGGTGCAGTGTAACATAACACTTTGTAATTTCTAGTAGTAACAATGATTCTTCTTATTGTAGCAATACAGTTATACAGATGAATTTGATGTGCCTTTATTTGAAGAATCATTTGACTTTAGGTTTCAAAGGACCACTCTTCCTTATGTGACATGTGAATATTTATATATTTGTTACAAATATGAACCCTTAATTTATATACGCCTACAATGTGAGTCTTGAGGCACAATATTTCTATTTGAACAATGGTAGATAGAGGAATTATTGAAAGGTTCCTAAATTAGGATGGAGTCACTCCTTCATAAACATAAAGTCACAAAAATGTAAGAGGAGCAATATAGGAAAATTAAATTCCATTGTAGTACGTGTGTGAGATCCTTAGCTGTTTGAGTCGAGTAACCTAGCAAAAGTACGGATAAATGACTCAAATATCCTTGTAAGAGCTCAAGCTTTGTTTTATTTAGCACGTTACACTTTAAAAAAACTCGTAATATTATTTAATTTAATACTATGTGAAATGCATGTGTTTAAAAATCAATATCATTATGTATAAAAATCTGACATAAAGTTTATGCAAATTGAGTCCAAAAATAAATATAAATCGAAGAGATTCAAGACATATTTTAACGAAAGGATACACGAGTGAAATGAAAATGCCTAGCACACTCCAAGATCCGTACGTTGCTAGCTTGCCCTCAGTGATAACATGTATTAGGATAGGTAATGATAAGAAGTAGTGAATTTCTTGTAATTGTTAAACCCTAAAGGCCAACAGTTACATGTGGCTTTCAAACGTCAACCTCCCTCCATACAAACCTAACATTATCATAGACCCCCAACCAAATAGCACGTGCCATCAATGTTGGTTAACTTTTGTTAGCTTTCCTTATTGATGTTCTCCCCTTCTTCAACCTTTTATAAAATTGTGCTTTCTCCATCACTCCTTCTCTCATTTGGTCTCAATACACCCAAATCACACCAACATAATTGTATTACTCCTTTCGTCCTTAAAAAAATTATATACAGTCATATTAATTAAATGATTGTTTGAACATGCTAACTTATTAATTGTTACATATATTGTTTATTAGAAAAAAGAATGTGGGATTGGAATCAATTGATATTTTTTGATCAAATTTTTTGAGAAAGTAAGGATATAGGGAAATAACCTTTAAGTAACGAGAAGAGATTTTGAGAAGTATTAAGATATTGACAAACATATATATGATTATGTAAATAATATTCGTAGTAGTAGAAATACAAAATTAATAAAAAGACAATCAAAGAGTATTATGAAACGAAGGGAGTATAAACGTAAGCATGTCGACTAAACCAAAACTACTGATTATCAAGTTTGTATCAAGTATTATTAATTATTATGTACCAACCACCAACAATTATGGTATTTCGTTATATACATGGGAGGGGTAATAAGGACAATTCACAGCACCAAAAGGATGACGGGCGTGCATAAATCATTGAGATGACCTTGTACTGACCTTATCTTTATTAATATTCCATATATTATAATTTGCGTTTGATTTCCAAACCTTTGATTAGTACTATCATTCTATAAGTAAAATTTACAACAACTATATATATCAAATGTCACCAATATGTAGTAAATTCAACTTATCACGTTATAATAAAAATCAAATAATGGGGCCTAATTTATATTCGAGGTGGGGTTAGCAATGACTCTTGAATTTGGACAGCTAATTATATGTGACTAATGTGAGTTCATACTTAATACGTTGATTTAAGGGGATGTAAGCTTTCTTGAGTTCAAAATTTACTAGCCCAATTGTGCACACAAGTGATACAAGTACACTCACATAAGCTATATACAGACATACAGTTATACACTCTTAGCTTGTCTCTAATTGATTGTTTGATGGTTTTACTATTTGAATTTGAAGCCTCTTAACCGTAATTTACGAATGATGTATCTTAATTAACCATATTATAATACAAGGATGTCAACTTTTTTACGGTACGTAGTACTTGAGAAGAAAAACGAGGGTTTGTTACTTTATTACGGAGTAATTATTTTTAAAATCAAACAAATATATTACGAAGTAATATATATAGTTCAAATTAGACTAGAGTAAATTATAAATAAACTAGAACATGCAATATTTAAAAGATAACAATTGATTATACCAGGCTATAAATTTAGATTAGAAAGATTCAAATTAGACGAAGACAAGTTTTAAAACCTGAGTTTCATTAATACTAGAACACCTAAATAAGTTAAAGTGAATCTAAACTATGAAATTTACACCAAATTTTATTCATTGTACATTTTAAAAGTTAATAGATAAATGATAGTTTTTCAACAATTTTTGAAGAAGATATTTTACTTGACAAGTAACAACCCTAGCTTGTGGCTTTTAATCTCAACACCAATTTAGTAGAGCAACCTATTTGAAAAAGTATTTTGTATGGAATTGAAACCCATCTTGTTCGTCGAAATGGATTATATGTCTCTCGAAGACTAAAATCATCTATAGTCTCGTAGATGATCGAGGCAGAAAGTATATATGAAAATCATCATGTGCAATTTCTAGCAAAATTATATATACACCTTTCATTCCATAACAATCGATCGAGATACATTTCAAAACCAACCGAAATAATGATTTTAGGAGAAATCCAGATGTCAGGATACGATTTAGAAAATTACCAATTAATTATACAATATGATGAGAATAACATGCATACAATAATGAACCATCTAAAAAAAAATTTTGAAAAAGTCAATAAAATTTAACTTGTGAATAAGGTTAAAAAAATCACAATTTTTTATTATCAATAAGTTAACCTATGTCATTATCTACCACTTATATATTTGGTTTCCTTCCATGTAAAACCCTCTCCAATACCTTTGAGCAATTGGGGAATTAATAAATGAAATAGTAAAAATAAATCAAATTAAAATAAAATAAAGAAAACTTTAAAATAAAGGATGGAGTGAGAGAGTGGGTGAAGAAGAGGATCAATAGCGACTTCCCTCCTCTCTCTCTCTCCTCCTACTTCCTCTCTCTCATCCTTTGAAGAACCAAAACCAACAAAAAAAAAAAAAAAAAAAAAAAAAGGAAGTCTCCCTCTTTATAATTTTTGCCAAAATTTCCTCCATTTTTTTGCTTTCCCTCTCAAGTAGTCCACATAATTTAATGTTAGTTGATGATATCTCTTTCCAGAAGGCGATCGCAGAGGGAGCACACTTAACTACAAAGAGAACCACATAAGGAAAAAAGCCTTAACCCGAACCCAAACTCAACCCGAATATTCATAAATAACTAAAGATAATACAGCCTAGCCTCATTTTGATAAAGATTGATATAGACCTTATTACCAGACGACAACAGACAACCTACAGAACACAATCACAATTCATCTCAGAGAATTTTCATTTTTGCAGCACTAAGCATTTCTCTTTCATTCTAAGGTATTCCCATTTTTCCATTTCAACTTATGCTTTTTTTTTTTTTTTTTTTTTATTATCTTCTTGTTTTTTTATATTTTTATTTTTGGGTCGTTTTTATTATCTAGCTATCTATCATCTTCATAATTTAAGGGTTTATAATTTTTCTTTTTAATATATATATATATATATGTTTTTTTTTTTTTTTGGTTAAGGTTGTTACTTATGTTACAGATGATGATGAAGAAAAAGATAGAAAAAAGATGGGCGTAGCGCAACCATTACCATCAGTTTGTTCGTCATCAAAGAAGACGACGACCACTAGCACTACCACCACCATCATCAGTACACCTTATCATCAATTGCAACAACTTATTGTCGCGATTGATAAACAACAGCCCAACAATAATAATACTGATAATTCTATGTCCCACGATTATCATCATCCTCATCAACATCATCATCACCACCAGCAAGCTGCAAATAATATCTTCAGCTTTCCGAATGGGTTCGACAGATCTGCTGGAATAAACCAGCAGACCGAGCAGGCGACTGTGGCTGCTGAAGACCCTGCAGGAGGAGGATTACATCCTGTGTATGAAACTGCTGGGATGTTGTCTGAGATGTTCAATTTTGGGCACGGCTCGGGGCCTAGTCCAGGCCCCGAGCTGTTGGACTATCGCCGGGCTGTTGGCGGGATGGGCCCCGCCGATTGGTATGGGAATACAAGGCAAGTAACTAGAGACGATCAACAACATATTGTAGAGCACCAGCACCAGCAGCAGCAACAGCAGCATCATCAGATGGGTGGTATAAGTGCACATGACTCGGCCGCAGCCATGCAACTTTTTATGACTAATCCACCACCGAGATCACCATCGCCGCCACCAGCACCACCACAAGCACAACCACAAGCGCAATCCAACATTCAGCCGGGTATTGGGGGAGGAGGGTTTCACTCCCTAGCCGCGGCCGGAGTAGTCCACCCATCAGCTAATAATAATAGTACAAGTACAACCAATCATCCTAATTTTTGGAGCACTCAACATATCAATAATCCAGCTGAATTAACAGGAATAGTGGAAGGGCAAGGGCTATCATTATCGTTATCGTCATCGTTACAGCATCTAGAAGCAGCTAAACAAGCTGAGGAAGAATTCAGAAACATTGGAGGTCCAAGTAATGAAAGTCATATTATGTTTTTTAACCAACACCTAGCTAATGCTACTGGAGTTGGTCCATCATCGTCAACAACCACCTCGTCGCCCGGCGGTCATTTCTTTAAGAACCTAGCCCCTAGTCCACACCACTTACAATCCGTGGGCGCTTTCGGAGGTCCAAGTAATGCTCATCACAACCAAATCCACCTTGGGTACGGGTCGGCTGCCACGTCATCATTGGGAGTAGTCAATGTGTTGAGGAATTCAAAATATGCTAAGCCTGCTCAAGATTTACTAGAAGAATTTTGTAGCGTTGGAAGGGGTCAAATAAAAAAGCCTAAACTAGGGAGACAGAATTCGTCAAATCAAAACCCGACCTCAAGTGGCGGTGGCGGCGGCGGCGGTGGTGCTGGTGACGGAGGTGGGTCTTCGTCATCGACGAAAGATCCGCCTCAATTGTCACCATCTGATAGGATAGAACATCAAAGAAGGAAGGTCAAACTACTAGCAATGCTTGATGAGGCATGTTTTTCTTTCTTTACTAGTCATTTTGTTAATCATGGCACCTCTTTCTTCTTCTTACACCAAGAGTCAAGACCAAATCTTAATTTATTTAATTAATTAATCCCTTACTTTTCTTAACCAAACCCAATTATTTTTTTTTTTATTAAACCACCCAAATCAGATTTTTATTTAAAAGATCCGGCATGCTTACTCACAAAAGAAAATCAACCTTCTTTCTACTGGCCGGCAAAATATAGTATTAATGTTGGGCATATAAGGATTATTCTCATTGAATCTTATGTTAATCAAAATTAAATCTTCATAATATATATAAGCTACCAATCAAAATATTATAATGTATAAGTTTTACTATATAATACTATAATTATTGTTACTATTATAATTAAGAATATGATAAGAATGAGTTGACTTAATTAAGGTTAAGGAAAATTTCTATTTATTTTTTTCTCAAATATAGTAGAGGGTCTACTCTAGGCACTTTGTTTATGTATAGTCTAAAAAAATAGATTGAATTTCTATTGGCTAAGACTAATGGTGAGAAGACAGGCAAAGAAACACCCGAAAGTATATTCTTTCTTTCATCCTTCGGCCTCCTTCTCCATTAACAATAATCATTTTGTCTCTATCCCAAATACTTTGGGTTAGTTTCCCTAATTATTTATTCATTATATTTTAAACTTTATGTTAGTGTACTTTTGGTTTCCCTTTAAGAGTAACAAACCTTCTTCCCTATTTCTTTATTTAATTAGGGTTTATAAATTAATACCCGAAATATAAAGAATGATACTAATACCAAATCTTCAATTCATTCCCTACACTCCTAATCTTGGTTTATAAATAGTGACAGTGGTTAAAGACTATAATGTAATGATTGTTGATTTTACGGTTAAATTTTGCTATTTTTGTAGGAATTTGTCTGTTATTCGAATTAAAACGCGTTTTGAGTATGTATAACAAATTCTTGTTTTCATTTTTATATCATTGTCATAAATATTTTTACATATAAATAGTAAGGTAATTGAGATGCCTTTTTCCTGAAATCTTATATACAAGTATATACATACCTACATATGTCTTATTCTATACCCACCAAGAAAAACAAAATCAATTAAAATAAATATGATTGTGTTTTTAATTTGCACTAAATAAATTAAAAAATAATGAAGGCATCTTTTCTCTTTAACTAAGTTACTCTCTTAGGTAGTTGAGTAGTGAAAACAACTTAGTAACCTCTTCAACAACTAACGTACACCCATGAAACTTGTGACTTATCAACCTCCAAAATCAACTTTCTAAATTTATACTATACTTGTATGATTTAATTAATTAATTAATTAATTTTATTTTCTTTGATTTTGATCTTTTAGGTGGATAGAAGGTACAACCATTACTGTGAGCAAATGCAGATGGTAGTAAACTCGTTCGACCTAATAATGGGGTACGGCGCAGCCATTCCATACACGGCGTTAGCCCAAAAGGCGATGTCTAGGCATTTTAGATGTCTAAAGGACGCAATACAAGTACAACTTAAGCATAGTTGTGAAATGCTAGGAGAAAAAGATCCAACCACAAGTTCGGGAATAACAAAGGGTGAAACACCAAGGTTGAAGGTACTAGAACAAAGTCTAAGACAACAAAGGGCGTTCCATCAAATGGGGATGATGGATCAAGAAGCTTGGCGCCCGCAACGTGGCTTACCGGAGAGATCAGTGAATGTACTAAGGGCATGGCTATTTGAACACTTCCTTCATCCGTATGTTCTCTTTTTCTTTTACTGTTTTGTTATTATTCTTTTTGTTTGATTCATTCGTTGATAATATTATGTGCATGATATTATGAATAATATGATATAATATGATGAATGATGGATCCAAGGTAAATTACTTTGTGTAAGTCGTTTTTGTTGTTGTTGTATAAAAAAAATGGTTTGGACAAACAGAAAAAAAGCTGAGTTAAAGGTTATTGATCATCATCATGGTCATGTCTCTTTTTATTCTTTTTCTGTATGTTCTTTTTAGCACAGTTTCTCATGTCAATCTATCATCTCTATCTAGAAATAGAATATTTTTTGGGATTTTTAACTTTGTTATTTTATATATATATATATATATATATATATATATATATATATATATATATATATATATATATATATATATATATATATATATATATATAATGAATAGGACTTAGTTCAGTTGAATTAGTAAATGATTAATTAATGTAATGTAAGATGTTTATGTAAAGGTCAACATAGTTTAGAAATACATTTTATATGGTCTAAGTCAAATAGGAGATTAGTATAGGTTAATGAAGTATAAATTGTCATTATCGAGTGTTAAAATGCTCATCATTTAGCTCATTTTATAAGGGTTGTATGGCGTAGTATCAAGGAATATAATGATGTTAATTTGAAACTTGTCTGTGTTCTATTAATTTATTTTGTGTGGCCGCTTTTATGACTCAAATATACAAATTGAGAAAAATGATTGTTATATATATTGATTATTCTTGTTGATCTTAAGATGTTTAAATCTCTCTATCTTAATAATATAAAAGTTTTTTTTGTTGTTTAATTGATTGCAAAATATAATGCATTTAGGTTTATGACTTATATATCATTAAAAATGAATTAGATATTTAACCAACCTAGTATATAAGGCACACTTTTTGAATCTTAAATGCAAGTCCCACTGTGATTTTATGTTCTAATTTAAGACTAGTGACATATGTTTAGTTTTAAACACATCCAAGTTATGTCAAACAACATATTCATCTCAAATCATTCTTACAGATTATTCATTTAGTTTTCCTAACTTTATTTTATGTTACTCATACTATATATCGATGTACTTTACACTTTCTTACTTTATATTGTCTAAAACGTAAAATAATACAACACTTATTTACTAACAAATATATGTCTAAATTACTATTCCATACAACATAACAAAACCGACTTCATATTCTAAGCTTCTTATTCGAAATAGAGATATTTTAGTCATTTGTTATTGCATTGTCAATAGCAATTATTATTATGAATTGCTCAAGTAAATCATTTTGCAAGATGGATTATATATATTAAATTAAATGACGCACATGTAAATTGTTAAGAACTAGCTTAGGACTAGTACTAATCAAAACCATTGAAGTTAATTAATAAGAGAGTAATTAATTGCTCGCTGTATGTAATAGACCCTTGATTCAGATCAGTATTGAGTAATTAATGAATCTCTAAAACAATTAAAATTAAATGATTGATAAATGGCGATGCTTTTCTGCTGTATCAATGACAACAAGGTTCCAAGAAATAATGACAAGCGAAAAGCCAATAATATTGATCAACCGTTATACTACATACATAAAACAATCATGCTTTTCTTCTCAGACCACATTTAATTTTAATTCAAGATATGACAAAGATTCAAGTGGCTATATCATACAGTTGTCCTTATGACCTTTCTCTCTCTCTTAGATTCTCACGCCCCCTTTAAGATGAGAGAGAATTTCTATATTTTTGCATTTTACATTATTTTGTAATTTTCTTGTGTATCAATTAATTAATTTAATACATTTGTTATTATATACATGAAAAACATGACCATTGTTACACCAAAATAAGCATATATATGGTATACAAATATAGCAAGTGTAGGTTTTTGTAAAAAGACATGGTGACTCATCAAAACACGGTTCACATTTATCTCATACTGTATGATAATTGTACATGGATAGATTATACACTGGGTGACTGTAATAGACTAATGTCGTATTCTCATTGATCGAGCTTGGACACACCATATGATATTCATATTGATGTCTTTTTCTGGTCACTATCTCAGGTATCCAAGCGATGCTGATAAGCATTTGTTAGCACGGCAGACTGGTTTATCAAGAAATCAGGTACGAGTACCGCCTTTTCTCTTTTGTTTCGTTATTTCTCTCTCTGTCTCTAGCTATTATGCATATGCACAACTTCACAGACATGTATGCAAATAAAAGACACAAAAATGCAAGAGAGTAATTAAATACAACTAGGAAAAAAAAGAAAAAAAAAAAAACAGAAAGTCATATTCATCTATCTTTAATGAGAGAATGCCTTGGTAACTTCTATAGGACAATAAAAAAATGGCAATAATATTAAAGAATAAGATTGCATGGATATCACCTATAGTTTTTGTACTACAGTTTTTATCCTTGTTTTTTTAACTGATGACACTGCTGTCATTGAGAATGACCTAAAAAGTTACTATAGTAGTATAATTTTAAGTGGGTTTTATATATTATACTTTTGGCTTTAATTTTACTGAATGTACTTTCAGTTAATTAGGGTACACACAAAAAATATAGGTAAGATGAATCATATGATAATAAAAGCAGATGTAAGTACGGAAAAAAATAATTAAAAGATGGTGTGGAAGAAAGTTTGCAGAGAGCTTTCCCTCTCTTTGTCTTTCTCTATGCAATGTGCATCATATATTATTACTCCATATATTATGATTCCTTTTTATAATGCTACTAGGTTAGTCCCGTGCCATGCACGGTAATTTTTAATACTTAATACTTATCATTAGTTTAACGCTATTATTTAATTATAAAAAATTATACCTAATTGTAAAATAGGATGAAAGTTCTGTAATTACAAAAAAAAAAAAAAATTAAAAATTTATCACACTAAAGAAAACAGAGAGAATAATATGTGCACGACTAATAAAAATAACTATGAATTACATTACAAAGTTATAGATAGCAAACTATTATTGCATATTATAGTATAAAAAAATAATATCTTTGTTTGAATGTGTACAAATAGAATATACTTATCAAATAGGAATTGAAATATTATTGCATAGTTTGCACGACTAATAAAAATAGGACTTATTAGTTAAAATTAGTACGATCATATTTTTCGGATTATTGTGTCATTCCAAAGAGTAATAGATCAATATGCACGCGATACATGTACGAAATTTCAAAATCGTATACTTGACTGCTCATTGAGTACATTACTATTGATGGTATCAAACATTAATAAGAGGGTAGATAGGTGGTGACATTTTTTCGGTAAGTAGCTAGTTCAAATTTTTGCTTAAAAAGAAAGTTCATCTTATCAAGGTTCAAGGTTTGGATGTATGGTAAATTTGTGGTACATTACTAGAGGAAACAAATTTTATGACTCTCTATATTATTTTTGGTGAGGGAAACAATTAGAAAAATGCTATGTATTTATCAATTAGTCTTGGTATATTTTAATTAGGAAAATGTTCAATTCGATCCTTAATAAAGTCAGAGTTTAAGGACTTAGGCCCCGTTCTCTTCACCTTAATTTTGCTGAACTGAAATTATTTTTATTGAACTGAAATTATTTTTGCTGAACTTAAATTCTATTTACCGAACTTAAATTAATTTTACTGAACTGAAATTATTTTTGCTGAACTGAAATTATTTTTACTGATTTTCTATTATAATTATTCTTTAATAAAACTGAATTTTGCTGAAATGAACTTATTTTTACTGAACTGAAATTATTTTTACTGAACTGAAATTAATTTGACTGAACTGAACTTATTTTTACTGAACTGAAATTATTTTTACTTAATATTATTTTTGTAAGGTGAAGAGAACAGGGCCTTATACTATATACATAATAGCTAGTAGCTTTGCCAATATATTATGATTGCGTAACATTTAGGGCTTGTTTAATACCAATGCTAGTTTTCAATTTTTGGATTTTTGATTTTACTTGTCATATGATATGAGATGTATAAAATTATTATTATTATTATTATTATTATTAATATCATAATAATAATAATGTTGATTTAGAAAACTAATAAGTAAGAAGAAAACTATAGTTTTATACTGCGTGCGTATATGGTTACCATTTCATTATTTTTAAAAAATAAAAAAATTGTAAACAAACAATATTAATGAACATACCCTTAGTATCTCATTTAGTTTAAATAATTCCAAGCATAAATTATTAATAAAATTATAACTACGATAGAGAGATTGCAAAAGATGCGTAAAAACAAGCCTTTGTAAATCAGCAAAAAGAGAGAAATAAAATTTGTATAAAAACAAACCACAATATGTGAAACATATTAAGGTATATGAAAAGTTTATAAATTACTACATTTAGAAGTAGATAATTTATAAACAATCGTAAACTGGTACCTGATTGTACTAGCTAATTTGATTAACAGTTCAAATTCTTTGCTTATTGATCATTATGAATTGCTTACATATTTATATAAATATTTTCTGATAATTGAAAATTTTACTAACTAATACAATAAGTATAAAGCTCACCAACCAATACACAATTTGAAAACAGTACGAGAAAATAAAGATGATTTGAGTGCACACTATAGCTAAGATGTGTCACCCTTCTAGAGTTCTAGGAAGACCCTCAAGTCTATCTCCATCCTATGCAACATCATCTTAACCTTCATAACACTAAAAATAGATCTAATAATAATTTAGTTGGCAAGTTAAGATTCCTAATTGCCTTCTAAGATCTATAAAATCTACACCATTTTTTTTTTCCCAAAGAATTGCATTTTTTTTCAACATACTTATAGAGGAAAAATTACAAAGTAAGATGAAATTTTAATGTAGTGCAGTGCAGAATAGTTGATAAATATAGACGGGACATATCTCATCAATATCGGCAGCCTATATCTCATAGCATCCCAATACAATATTAAGAACAAGATTGTGAAATCTAATTTCATCTTTTAAACAATCCTTCTTCCACAATATGCATAAAGTCTTTTCCCATTAATTAGCTAGCTAAGATATAAAATCGAAAGAAAATCTAAAAAGAACAATGCAACTAATAGAAAAAAAAAAGGAGCATATTCTTGGAACGTTGCATTGCATGTAAGTGCGTGACAAGCACTAAAATGCATGCTACGTCATTGCCCATTGGTTATTACTCAGCCTCTTCAGTTGCCATTAAATAATGCTGATTCTTTCTTATTATTGTACAACTATTCGGTTGGGAAAGGATTAGGAAGGACATGTTTGTTTTGTTAGGTCTTCTTTATTCTAAACATAACCAACTCCTACCCCCCTAATTTGAGCATTTTTAAGTGTAATCAATAGAATAGGATTCTTGATTATTAATCATTAGGCAAATAAATAAAGTTATCCCTATAATATAAAAGTCATGCTTAAATAATAAAATAGAAAGGGTATCTCTTGTCTCTCGATGATCTTTTAAGATTACCAACTGCATAATATTATTGAGGCTGAATATAGTTTTTCTTAATAAGATATATTAATGTATATTCAAAGAATTGAATTAAAAAGTTTTACGGAGTATTTTTTTTAAAATATTCATATTGGAATGGAGCCTTTTTTAAATATATAGGAGCCTTCACATAAATAAAGAAAAAAAAAATTATTGAAGGTTTGTTTGTTGATTTGGATTCCAATATTTAGATGATTTTATGCTTTTTAACTGGTCCCTGTTACGAGTTTTAGGAGCTTTATAATTTTTAAAATGTTTGGTTGTCTCTTATTAAGATTTTCAAGAGATTTACTTCAATTGAGCTAAACTTGAGAGGTTAAAATTGCTTGTTACGTCTTACATGCATGCTATAAAATGTCGTCAAAAACAATTTAGTCCTAGATAATTACAATAAGACAATTGAACAAGTGGAATTGGAAGGATTGTCATTTTTGTCTAACAATGAATAATAAAAAGTCAAATATATATTGTCTTTACTCTTCAATCTTCATTATGCTTATAAGATATAGGATGGTACACCCTAGTCCCTAGTGTATAGGTATCCCACAAGTCTTGTAGCCTATTTGAAGAAGGATACCATGGAGGTTTTAGGTCGTAGTGTCCCTTGTCAGTTGAATTGCATGTAAAAATAAACAAATAAAAGAGAGAGAAATCTACACGATTATGACTGTTTTGAAATACAGTAAGCAAAATAAACTATCATATCTCCCTTTCATTATTTACTCACAAACTTACTTTTAATGTGCCATCACTTGGTTACTTCACTAGTGTTACAGAGTTACTCGGTCTGTGTTACAAAGGTTATGGAATACTTCATCAGTGTTATATATAGTGGTTACTCGCTCAATATTATAGGGATTACTTTGTTTATTTACAAGCGGTCATTCATATGACGTACGTATCTTGATTTATTTTTTACTTTACCTTTAGAAATATATGATTGGGATGTGTTTGTGATGAGGTAAGGATAGGATATAACGTGCATAGGCAATAGAAGAGGATGGTCCTAAAAAAGTAGGGTCTGGTACTATAATTGTTCCCACTAATACTATTCACCATTCACTTTCATAAAATTGAATGCCCTCAAAACTACAATTCAGTAAGGTCAATTCTCAAATCATCAGTACTACCAGTGCCACTTATTCAGTGTCTGCTTTGTATTTATTGAACCTTGTATTTAATTTGTCTATCCCATTTAAATCTTTCAAACTTAAGTTGGTGTGTACATCCAATCAATGGTCGTCTCATACTATATTGTGACCATTTTTTGAGTCAATTGTCCAACCATAATACTATGTACTGTGTTACTCCTGTGTTACTCGTATATAGATTGGTTGTGTTTATTAATTAGGAATTTCTTTTGGTATAAAAGAAGGTAAAAATTAGAGGCATTTGGAAAATAGAATAGTGTGAATTCTACGTGTAACATACTGGATGTACAAGGTCCAATACTCGAGTATGAAAAAAAATTATAACTAAAAAAATATTTAGTACTCCGTAGTAATTTATGGTTATATTTTCTTAAAGAAACTTGATAAATGTAATACTTCATCCGTTCTTTTATTATTGCACCATTTGCCTTTTTAGGAAGTTTTACATATATTACACCATTTCCTCTTTAGGAAAAAAATTATTTGTGTTCACACTACAAATACCTAACATACCTTTGCTTTTTCACACGTACTTTTTAATTTATCAATATGTCACATAGACAATTTTGTATTTTTACCTTTCCCTCTCTTACTTTTTTCCACTATCAAAATATTTGTCCCCAACCCCTATGGTGCAATAATAAAAAAAGGAGGAAGTATAATTTTTAATATAAAACTATAAAAGTGAGAATTATTAGAATGGTTAGAATAACTTTGAATAGTCCGAGTCAAATAATATTTGTTATCTTATGACGGAGAAATTATAACATGATTAAACATGCTATTCAAAAAAATAACATGATTAAACATTAATGCATCTATTATTATACAGTAATATTATGGAACTTATTTATAAGTGTAATGACCATATATACATTGGGATAAATTTTGAAAAACAGGTATCAAATTGGTTCATAAATGCAAGAGTACGGTTATGGAAACCCATGATTGAAGAGATGTACCAACAAGAATCCAAAGAAATGGAAGAAGAGCGAGAACGAGAACGCGATGGAGAAGGAAACCAAACGAGCAGCAGCACTAGCAACAGCTTCGCAACACAGCAACAGCAACAACAACAACAAGCATCAACTTCACATAACCCAATGCCGTCTTCTTCTCCTGCTGCCACTGCCACTGTCTCAGCAGAAGGCAAAAGATCCGCTGAAACAATGACACCTACAGCCCCGCCATCTGACCGCGACCCTTCAGTTCTTGCAATCAATAGACACCACCAACACCATCACCAACTACCGTCCCACTCGGCTGCCGCCCTTGTAGGTCTTCAGCCGAGTGGGTCCCAGGATTTTATCCATGGACCAGCAGATGATACGTGTCATTTTGGTGGTGGGGACAATGTGGGCCCCACCACTATGATTAGATTTGTGACTTCGACTGGTGACGTGTCCCTTACTTTAGGGCTTCGTCATGCCGGGAATGCTCCGGAGAAAGGTGCTGCCTTTTCTGTTAGGGACTTTGGGAGCTGCTAAAATTGGTTTTTATATTTTTATTATATTCTTTTTTTTTTTTTGTTATTATAAAGAAAATAAGCTGGAAAGGCGTACAAATTCAAAAAATAATATGTCTTCCTAGCTTATAAAAATTGAACAAAGTGAAAAAAAGGGGTGAAAAAATATAGATTGGTGCAATTTCAGGACTTATGTATGTATGTAGCTAAGTAAACTAGCTAGCTAGGTTGGTCCATGCATCATATTATGATTATCTTTTTATTATTTGTTGGAAAATTGTATAGTAGAAGAATTAAGCTTCTTTTTTGAATTTTATTTTTGGGTGAGTGGAGTTCAATTAGTCAATTGTTATTTATACTACGTATGTAAAATTAATTTTGTGAATGATTAAATAATTAAGAATAGTGTAAAAGGAACCAATGAGATGACGACCATGTAGTCAAGAAGTGATAGTATAGTCACTATGATGTCGTTAATTATAAATTGGGTGACAAATTATAAGGGCATTTTGATGTAATAATAATTTCCAATCATTTAGTGGATGGAGGGCCTAACTTTTAAGCATGTTAATGAGATTGGAGTGGGAGTGGTGATTGATAAATGATTGAAATGATGGATTGTCACAATTTGAGAGATTCGAACAATGGTGTAAAGTAGTTAGTAAACAGATGATGAATTGATTAGATCGATTTGATTGCACTTTCTTTTGCCCTAATGTTCATTTTATTTGCACTTTTTTTATAGGGTCTACTTGTGATGATATGATTATGTGAAAATAGACATGATTGAACTTAAAACTTTTTTTTGTTTAAGTGAAAATAAGGTCGATGACTAGATGTTACATATAATACTAATTAACTAAAACAATAAAATGTTCTTTAAAAAAAAAACTAAAACAATAAAATGAATAGTAATAACAAATTTATTTTTGCCTATTAGTCCTAATAATGAAAACTAAGTGTTGAGTACAAAATGCGAGTATATATAGGATGAAAATTCTTTTGAGCGTAAAAATTAACTAATCAATTAAAGAGTACAACATTTACAATGCAATAGAGATCAAAATTGAAACACATATATAATTAAGTTGGATTAAAATCATGGATGATATTTGACGTTGATGAATACTCTCTTTATGAAGCGCTTTCAACTTCTTTCAATTTGATTCAGATCAGATTAGACTAGATCTTACAAAATTCAGACCGGATCTTCTTATTTCAGGTGAAGAGAATAAGTCCTACAACTATGGTCAGGCGAGTTTCTATTATGACCTTCAAATTGAAAAAAAGACTCAAATATAAATCGAATCAGTCTACTAAAGTCATTCGAGTCGGGTCTACCAATAATGCAAGACCAATAGTTAGGCAAATGACCAGTTGAGGGACTAGCATCTTAAAGCATGTGCAGTGACATGAGAATAGCTAGTTTGGCAATAATTCTCATAGAATAAGGTGAGGGATGGATCTCCGTACTTTGATATTGAACGAAAATTGTTGCAATTAATAGATGGTTTTTAAACCTTGTCATTTTACTAGTTGGATATAAATAATTGGCAGCAATGACAACATCATTTTCATACATAAGATTAAATTAAATGAGTTAAAAAATGTGGGGATAACAATTTCTTTGAGGACCAATTATACATTATGAAGAGTATATCGCTTTCTATAAAAATCTTGGTGTGTTAAAATTTGGTCCCCTACACCCCTCTTAGCCTTAATTGATCATCAAATGTTTTGATTGAAAGCGTGGCAAGACAAGGATGGAGCAGTCTGCCCATATACGGGTCGTTCCCGTTGGGCCCCATTTATCTTCTACTTTACTTGATCGATGAGTGTAATTAATCGCTGATGAATCTAGCTAGGGCTTGTTTGGTTGGATCCAACTTACTTTTCAAACTTTAATTTATTCTACCAAAAAAAATTGACTCTTAATGAAATCTAAGGGTAGTGTTCGAGTGTGTGTAACTCTAAACTTATTGACTCTTATCATGAATTAAGTTTCATGAACCTTTTTGCAAGGTTTGAATAGTAATAAAGCTCTAAAACTGTATTACGGAGTAACATGGTGTGAATAACGCCAAATTCAAAATATGTCAACTTAAAAAACACGGAAGAAGCATAATATAAGCACCAATAAGCACCAATATTAAAGCAACCTCAACACAATTTACACATATAACATGGTAAGAAGAAGAAAATAAAAAGGAAGACAGGAGTAATAATAGAAGAAACAAGATAGTAGTAGAAAGAAAAAAGAAGCAGACAAAGATATAAGAATCAGGAGTGCCGGGATTCCTAGTGCACCAAAACCAGGCCCACGTTCGATGGTGAAAGCTCATTACTCTTTCGGGCTTTTGTCTTAGGCCCGCTTTTAGCTCTTTGCTCTACCTCCATTTTACTATTTGTCTACTTTTTTTTTTTTTTTTTTGGCATCAATTATAAATTGTGGTCCTCCATATTGCATGATTTTCTTATAACTCTCTTCATTCAATTTTTCCATGTTTTTGCAATATTTTGACCTCTTAAGGTTGCAATTTTTTCCCAACTTTGGCCACTAAATTCATTGTATATGCAATTTAATGCAATAACACACTGTCGACTAACATGTAATTTTCTTGATGGATTTGAGACTTTTGAGCATAATCTTAACGAACTCTGGAAAGGTGAGTAAGACTTTATAGTTGTAGGAAAGATGAAAAATAATGAATTGAAATTATTTGATATAGTAGGATTTGCAACAGGGGGTCAAGTTAGGTTTGGCTTAACCAGTTTATATAACTCATGCCATAATCCTAACATGAAATTGACTAGTTTACGTCTGCAAATTAGAATCTTTAAGCCGACTTGACATGTTTAACCTAATTACTTAACCCCCTTTTTTTTTAAGTAAAAATAAAAAATAAAAAATAAATGTATTCAAATTAGTTAGATGAATAGACTTAACGAACTTGGCTTGATGCCTAACATGCTCAACACAAATCTATTTTATCGATTATGTGTGTGTGTGTGTTGGGGTCTAAATAAGTTGAAATCTTCCCCATATTCTTTCTCTTAACTTCATTCCGTGATTTCCATCCACCTCTTCTAAAGCAACCACATCAACCACCACCAATCACACCACCGGTACCACCCACACCACCATGTCGACCACTACAAACCCACAACCACCGCGTCAACCACCACCATCTACACCAGATTGCCGAGAATAATAACAGTTAATCAATATAATTATCTACAACAATAGTAATAAAATTAATTATAATTATTTTGTAATAATAATAAGATTAATAACAATTAATTAGAATAAGTTTTGAATAAAAAAAATAATAAGTTTTTTTTAAAGAAAATTGCTGGCTAACGACGCTCAAAACCAGTTGACCGCCACCGGTAACCGGTGGTCAAAACCGATTGACCAGCACGGTCAACCGGTTTTGACCGTCGGTTACCTGTGGCGGTCAACCGGTTTTGAGCGCCGGTTACCAGCCACCGGAATTTTATTTTTTTTTTTTAAAAAAAAAACTTAAACTCAAAACAAAAAGCTAATCGGCAAATTTACCTCCTTCCCCGGTTTCCAGCCATGTCCCCACCGTCAACCACCGTCACCCATGTACGCGCCACCACTTCTTGAACGCCGCTGACTGGTATGTCGATTGTCTCTGTGGTGGTGGTGGTGGTGGTGGTTGTTTTTGGGGATCTTGAGGGGTTGTTGATGAGAGAGAAAAAAGAAAGAGGAGAAAGATGGGTTTGGGTTTAGTATTTTAGTAAGGGCAATAATGACATTTCGCTTAAAAAGTTGGCGGTTTTGATAATTTTTGTTGGCGGTATTTAATACCTCCCTTCTTGGATAGAGAATGAGATCTACAATCTACATTATTATTTTCCTCCAGTAGTTTTAGTTGCAATATTTTGACTTATGCATTACTCATATATCCCACTTTAACTTAAGGAAAAATGCAACCATGTGTCCATGTGAGATTTTAGTTTTAGTTGCAATAGCCTAGGATGTTTCGAAAAAACTAGGCGTTTCAGCCTAGGGTATTCGAAAATTCTAGGCGTTTCTTGGGTTTCGAATTTTTTTAAAAAAATTATCGCGACGTACTGATTCCGTACGGTTCGACGAGCCTTTGGCGAGCGTCTAAGGTTGTGTTTCTGGTATTTCGTCGTTGTCCATAATATCTAACAAATTTGATTGCAAAATTAAAAAAATTTGTTTGATTTTGAAACTCACGGTGGTTGGGGGTGGTTGTTCGATGAGCGTTCGTGGTCGTTGACCGCTAGAGAGAACGATAAAAAGTTTTGTGTACAGTAAAAGTGTGAAATTGAGGTAAAATTAATTATTTTTATAATCGTTATTATAAGGATAAATACGTAATTTTATTTTATTTTGCGGGCATTAGTTAGATATTCGAGGGATATATTTAACAACCCCTTTTATAATATCTTTTTTTTCCCACTTTAATATTCAAAATTGTGATATTAATAGTCAAAATTCCAATTGTAATCATTTTCCATCACAGTTCGATCCAAATTGGTTGTCCAATGAACTTACTAACTTGGTAAAAGCCCAAAACATGCAGCCTCTACCCAACTATGAATATTTTCAGGCCGACAAGGACCAAACCACATTGAAGTTGCTTATATAGTTGTTGCTTTGTTGGGGCATGACATTTATTCATCCTTGGTTTCCAAATATAAGTCTCATTTTCACCCAAAAACAAGCCTCCTTCTCACTTGGTAAGTTTCGAACCTTAAATATCAAGGATATAGAATTAGAAGTTTACCAAGTGAGCCAAGTCTTGCTTGGTGTTTCCTTCTCACTTGGTAAGTTTTGAACCTTAAATATCAAGGATATAGAATTAGAGTTTTACCAAGTGAGCCAAGCCTTGCTTGGTATTATACAAGACTTGTGAGCAAGTTTAAGTTTAGCCATGGTCTTACAGTTGAAAATTTTGAAATGGCTTAATTCACGAAGGTAAATAGTTTTATGCAGTCGGAAGTTTTAATCCCGTTGATTTTGTTCCTTCCATGATGTGGTGAATCGATGAGGTCCCTCGCATTTTATTGTTGATTTGCATTGTTTCGGCTTTTTGGTAGCAAAAAATAGCTAGCACCAATTAGTACTCAACTACCAGCAAGTAAAGCTCGAGCAGTATCCTGCTAGATAGGTGTAGAAGTGCTCCTTAGATACCAATCTAAAGGACTTAAGGGCATCTCTTAACAAAAACACTTGCTCAAAGCTTCAAATGTACCAGAGGAAGCAAAGATTGATACATTACTATATCCAGAAAGCCGGTTTGCTTTATTTTAACAGCATTTCCTCCTGTACAGTGTACACCATGAATTCTGAATCTTTAACTTTCGATCTTAGAAACATTTGAAAAATCAAACGCTAACTCAAGAAATACATGCTGATAAAAAGTTGCATATACAAGCATTCTAAGAAGGACTAATATTAATCGGAATCACTTGGAATTGGTTAACATTTTTATTCACCAATTCTGATATCATGAAGATAACCACAGCTATATATATCAGCTTATAAACACAATATTGGATTCACAGGACTCAAACTTCCTAATAGCATCCTCATCCCAACAATTTGGTGGGTCAAGGTACATAAACTACAACACCATGTCACTCCAAATTTCAAGTTAAGAAACCACTCTTCAAACAATAAACACAATCAGCATTGTACATATACCTGTATGAATTACTTTCTCGAGGTAATTATTTTAGTCTACACCCTATGAAGTCATTGAGTTATCTGACTGACCTTGATTTACTCGTGGCTCAGCATATGGCCTAATGAAGGTCCTCCGCCACCAAACCTCAAATGCTCTTTGAAGATTCGGGCAATTATCACCCGATTTTAGGAAATTGCTCAACCAAGAGAGCAGAATACTCTGCTGTTCCTCAAGGGGTAAAGTCAAGATTGTCCTCCCAATCCCTTCCTCCACCACCTTCCGATCAAATGATCTGCACCCATGATTCAACCAGCTGTAGTCATTGGTCAATGGCTCCAACCACGTTTGCAATAGCATATGCCGGGTATCTTTAGATGGTAGCAGCTCCCCCCTGCCAATCCCAACAAACAACCTTGCTGTTATGCAGCTAACATGGTAGCGAGTCATAGCAGGAAGCTTATGATGTAAGCCTGCTAGCTCCTGTTGGCACACCCACATGAGGGCAAACTCGTCAGCTAACTGTCTTTCAGCCAAAATATCCAGCAACCAGGCAAGGTTGTCTGCTTCTAGAGCAATTTGCTTGGCGGTAGGATCCTGATTGTCCATTGGCCGGTCACTAAACTCAGGACCGGTTGCCCGCTTGAAATGGGATAATAATGAATCTAAGCAGCTTCTGCATGAAGCATAAATTGTTTCATAACAGATATCAGGTGAGCTATCACAATCTGAGCTGCTGTTATTCTCCCTAAGAAGTTTAAGAACAACGGACTTCATTTCACGCCGACCTCTCTCTTCATTACTCTTTAGAACAAGTTCCACAATTTGAGATAGTGTGTCTTTTGGAGGTCTTGAGATTTGCGAAGAGACTCGTTTCAGGACAGGATTTACACCAACACCCTCACTCTGAAGTCTCAGAACTGAAGACACCACTTTCTCCTCTTCCTCCTCCCCAACCCAAGGGGCAGCTTCCAGGTAATCTAAACACGCCTTGATACACGAGCTAAAACCAATTACCTCTGCAACCTGCAATGAATTCATCATTAGTTCACACGTACTGAAGAAGTCTAAAGGACTAAAGGTCTTTATAAGGAATTTTCTAAAATGAGGAAAACAAATTTGCATTTCACTGATGATAATCTTTGTTCATGGTTTTGTTCTCATCTTTCTGTAACTCTAAATGCAGCATGGTAGATGAAGATGAAAACCCACTCAAGTAGTTAAGCATATGAATGCTTTAAATCACGCGATTTAGAGGGGTAGCTCATATTTTGGCTCTTGAAGCTAACTACCCTCACCAACCAAATCTAAACTATACTATCAATATGCTCCCATAAAAGAAGGCATACATAAACATATCTTAAAAGTTAAAACTCATCCACTTGAGCTCCCACTTCATAGTCATACATTAAGAACCTCTATGAAACCAATTACATCAGCGCCTATAAAAAACCAAATCGATAATCGAATAAGCATTGAAGCATATAGCATAATCAAATATCTAAACCCAAGATGCTAAACCTGTCAAATTATTGAGTTTCATCAAGGGTGAACAAGGCATTCAACATCTGAAGCCAATCTATAACTCTAAATTTGGTATCATTAAGGAAAAATTTCACTAATTGGTGACAATGTTTCAAACAATTATATCACAGAGATCTTAAAATAATTCATCACACAATAGCAGGAATAATATAGCAGAAAACTATTGATTAACAAGCAAGAATACAAAGCAGATATATTTGATCACTCGGGTTTTCGGAATTTACCTTAAGAACACGAAGCACTCGTTGAACACTTTGCTTAAGTAGCCTTTGCTTCATATCCTTAGAATACATCAAACCAACACACTCAACATAAATTTCAACATCTTCACATTCCAAAATCTGAAGTGATGCAACATCAGACTCTTGCTCAGCCAATCTCTCAGCAAAAAAACTACTATTTTCCACAAGAACATCCTTATGAACATTCAATTTAACCGAAAATCCATGCTTCCCATACAACACAACCTTCATATCACTAGTCCCTGATTCACCAAACTCAATTGAAACCTTTTTAGGCAAACTCTCACTCTTATTCCTATGTGTTGTTCTCTCAACAACTCCCTCTGCCACATTAGAGGCAGGGGTAGTACTATCATTGGTACTCTTATGATCATCTGAAGGGACCATCTTCGCCCGGCTTGGCGAAGACGGTTTTCTTTCGTGTGAGTTTGTTGTCGGTTTCTTTTTTATTGATTCGCCACTGCTTGGTAGTGTTGGGGAAGATGGATTTGGTGGTGGTTTTGATTTGTTCAATGGATGTTGTGTTTTGAGATTTTTTTGGAATACAACAGGTGAAGGACAACACCAGAAACCTTCTGGAGTTACAGCAATTGGTACATTTCTGATCTTTGTTCCACCTTTACTAACTTTTACTTCAGACATAATTTCACTACCAAAAAAAAAAAACTCAGAAACCCAGTTTTCTGATTATGATAAAAAAAAATACAAATAAAAATCTGTAATTTATGTAAATTACCCAGAATTTCAGCTGATCATACAAGTTTCAACCAAACCCATTAAAATTTTCAACCAACAAACCAAATAAAAGAAAATTCCAACCAACTTTTTGACTAAAAACAAACAAGAACCAAAAAAAAAAATATCAGTCTAGGAAATTACTAATTAACCCTTTTGGCATGGAAGAACTGACCTTAAGGATGAACCAAATTTTGCAAAAACCCAGAAAATAATTCAGAAAACCCAGAAAAAAAATTACAAAAAGATAAAAACAATGGAAAGAATAATTTGTAAGGTGGGTTTATAAGAAGAAAATGTTGCAAAAAACTTTAGTAGTGTGGGTATCTGTACAAACAACACTTTTTTGCTTTATCTTTGCATTGTACGAGTAAAATATAGAGAGAGAAAGATTGAGAGAGAATGATCAAACAAAGCACGCCTTACAGAAACAGTTTTTGTGTTGGATTTTAGTTTTTTTTTGCGCAGAAAAAATTGGTTTACTGGAGGTGGATTCCCTTGGTCCCAGTACATAATATATACTCGTACCAGACAAGACAACATTTTTTAAATTCTTTTCATGTAATGTAATGTGATTTATTCTATGGTTTTATTTTTATAATATGGTTTTATTTTATAATATGGTTTTTATGACATATTTAGAGGACAAATTTTAAGGTTAAGAGGATGATAATTTTTGCTAATAGTGACATGATGTTGAGTTTCTGTTAATTCGCCTTTTTTAACTTTAGCTTGCCTTTTCTTTTTGGTTATGTTTTGTTTTTTGGGTGAAGATGGCCTACGTTAGCTTGCTTACAGTGCATAATCAAAGTGTAAGAATCCGATGTTTGTATAAAAAAATGTTAAGCAATTTTCTGTTTGTCGGGAAAGAATGGAGTATTTTGTTTTCTCAAAAAATTTCAACAAGCTAAATTTTTAAGAATGTATGTTTATTACGTGTGATTGATTTGACACTGTTATGAGTAGGGATAAATTTCGCGTTTCATATTTGTTGAAATGTATTGGTAATTATGCATTGAGTAAGGTACTATCATATTAAATGCATGTTCTGATTTACTGAACTGAATAGAGCTAAAATGAATTATTTATGAGAGAGAAATTAGAAATTGAACTAAATCAATTGAAACTTAACTAAACTGAACTGAAATTAAGCTAAATAAAACGGACCCTAAATTATCATGAGATTTTTAAACTTATCCACAATATTTAAATTTACCATTCTTGCAATTTGGTAAACGTTAACATCAAACTTGGATATATATGTAAGGTTCGTCTTTTTGTACGACTAGTCATAACTTAAGAAAAATGTTATGTTGTTAATATTGACAAACAATTTCGATCATGATATTCTCAAAAAAAATTCCCCTATTTTCCTAAAAATTCCCAAAACATCCCCATTGAATACAAACTTTTAACTATTCTTCAACAAGACATTTAATTGGACTATTAATTCCCGAAGAAGGCTAATTCGATGTATGTAATTGCATTAATGTACAAATGAGCAGCGTAAATGAGCACATTTATCAGCTAGTTGAGCACATAAAATGCATATTTAATTTCTGTTATGGTTAACCATTGAGTCATTAACTAGTTGAACTGGCATGTTAGTGGAAGTAGCTGGACCAATACGCTAATAAATTGCACATCTAATTTTGTTGGAGTAAAAAGAGATAAATGATTAAAGGACAGGCTACACTTAATTGCATTTAACATGGCCTCAATAGAATTTTTTTTTGGCATTATATTATTCAGGGCTTCGCATAACCTTTAATCTAGAGGTGATCAACATTGGCCCGGTCCGATCCGATCCGAAAATAGGGCGGGTTTGGGCAAGCATAAAAACGCATTTGTAGTTAAAAAGCCCGAAACCGGCCCGAAAAGCCCTATTTGGTCCGACAAGCCCGCTACTTTTTACGGGTTTGGGCACGATAAATTGTATTAAGGCCTGGCCCGGCCCGATTTTTTATCAACTCTACTCTAATCACATCCTAAATTGGTGCTTCAAATTAATTTAGAAATTATATGCCCAACAAAGTGTAAATTTATAGTTTTAAATTTCTAAAATTATACTCCGTACTATACGCCAATCATCTAAGAAAATTGTAGGTAAAAGATAAGTTTATTATACGAGTAGTACATTTTTAAGAGACGAAAAGAGTACTTAAGTTAGCTTCACATGTCGAAAGAGAGAAAATAATGTGGATCCTATTAATTTGGAATATCTCATGCACTCTCACATTCACTGACTCACACTCTGTCTCATGAATTCAGTTGTTTTTTTTAAAAAACTAATTCAGTTGCTTATAACAAGGTGATTTGTTTTTTCTTAATTGCATATAATATTGTAATAAAGATACTGCTTAAAATTAATTCCATAAGTCAGAAGAATTAGATGTCCTGTGCCGTCTACGCAATGCAATAAAGTACTAGTTGTATTAAAATGTTATTTCTACTCGAACTTTGCCACTCTTATAAGAACGCACATTTGCCAATTTCCCCACCATTGACTTACCACTTTTGCTTGAAGTATTAGAGATTTTTGTAATTTTGCATGACTAAATGTGCTCATCATTAGATTATGTAATAATAAGTTTACCATTTCAATTGAAAGGTTGAGCTAGCTAGATGAACCAACTTAATTTTAAAGTAAACTTACTTATCAAAGGAATTGTCCTACCATTGAGGAAAAAATAAAAAATTATTTCGGATTCCGGTGGTATTGCCAAGCTAAGGAAACTAATCAATAATCGTGATTGAATGAGGGTAAAGAAAAACATAGTATGCTTTAAGACTGAGAGCTTTTTTTTTTAAGGCTAGTAATATCATAAGAGAATATTAGAGTAAGCAACGACTCTCAGGCAACACCCTAAGAAAAATCATCATTATAAATAGGCAAAATTGGCCGCAACATCCTGAACTATGGCTTATGTGCACTAAGCATCTTGAACTTTGCGTAGTAGCCAAAATACCACTAACTATGGTGTTAGGTGCAATGCATGCCATAAATGAAAATTTTCGGCAACTTATTTCGCCAGGAGGAGGCGAATCTTCACTCTCTAGAACTACTATGTAGTCTTCCATCCACTTAGCACGCATGGATTCATCTCCTCCGATGAAATAAGTGGCCAAAAATTTTCATTAAGGCTCGCGTCGCACCTAACACCATAGTCGGCGGTGTTTTGACTACAATACATAGTTCTGGGTGCTCAGTGCACCTAAGCCATACTTTAGGGTGTTACAGCCAATTTTGCCTAATAAATATAATCGTTCATAATCCTCTATTAGTGAGAAATAACATGTACCATTTCACCTTAGCAAAGCAATATTCTACCATTCTATACCCCCCAAAAAAGCAATAGTATACAATTCTTTTTAAGAGTATGATCTTTAGAACTTTAATTTTGCTTTTTTTTAGTGGTGCTCTAAAATCAATTTTTGAGTGATGAAAAAGTAGTAGGCCAGGGACCAAAGAATGGGCCTAAAATGTTATGTTATGAATAAGATCGAAGATATGATGAAAGTATTCTTCAACTTTGTGATCCATCATCCATCATCCATCATCTATTATGCGCTAATAAACTTTATAATAAAAGGGAGATGAATGATGATAATGCAGTTACTAAAGAGAATAGATGGGCCTTCTCTCTAATAATGCTGCCCAACCTGTCTTTGTATAACTGCATGTGGTTTGGCGTTTTCCTGACCTTTATTTGTATTCATTCATTTATATTTTGCTGTTTTTTTAAGCTATACTATACTTTTAAAGTTCTATCTCATTCTATATTGATGTCATTTTTGACATTTTCTTCTCATTTTGCACTTTCTTGTGTAATCTACCTGCTATACATGTGTGACCCTTTCATTCCTTTTTAATTGTTTTTTAAGGTTACTCTCTTATACTCTTTTAAGAAAGAATACAGATAATAATGTATTGATATTTTATTATTCGAATTTGATTTACATATATCAATGTTTCAATTGATATATTATAGTAATAAGGTGCTAATTACAATAGATACGAATATGACTCGATTCTAACATGAAGCTGAACGGATTAACTCATGACGCGAATATGATAAGATGATGCGTATAGGGGGAATATTGCGCAACAATAAAATATAATTTGATTGTAGAAGAAGGGAAAGGACGACGTGTTGGTGTAACATCCGTACTTAAAAATGAAAAACTAGTTAGTCACCAACGCAATGATTCTCCCAAATTTGATTGGGTTAAAGGGGGTTGGGTGCAAGAAGCTGCAGACATGAAAGAAACAGGGACAAAGCTAATGTCAAAAAACTGAAAAACATCAACATGAAAATTGAAAATTATGCAAGCATGTCTATATTTTGGCATTTCACACTCATCGCTGTCGACATGTGACATGTTATCCAAGGAAATTAAAGATAAGTACTACTGTACTGGTGAGTTGCTTGCCTACAAGGCTAATGACCTCTCTCTTTCATGCAAGATGCATCATGTTTCATTTGAAATCTCAATCTTTTTAGTCAATTACTCGTACACTATAGTAGTATAGTGGCCTCATTATTTCGCTTTCGGAAATATTTTTACTGAAACAGATCTAGCAAGATTTCATACGGAGTAACTAGAATGAAATGAGAGGGTGGCGGAGTATTATATAAAAGTCTAGAAATATTAGCCACGATCATTAAATGAAAACGAAAATGAAAAATTGGCTTTTAGTATGACACTAAATATAACATTGAGGTACAAGAATTAATACTATGTAAAGCGGGTGTACAAGACAACACCAACTATAATGTTTGTTACATCTGGCATACTAGTATCATAAAAAATACCACTGTATACAAGTAAAATTTTCTAAATTCAGGCGACGATAAAGCAAGGGGTGGGGAGTAGGACGGGGTTTTAAAGGATGCACCCAAATAGAGGTTGGTGTGCGCCTATACATCCCTTATAGTTTGGTGTTGCTCCACCAGTCTATAGACTATAGTTGTCATATAGGCCAATCATTCTTTTATTAAATGAAGATGTGGTGATAAAAGCCAATTGAACAAAAGAGATAACTATTACTCTCATAATTTATTGTGAAATAGTAAATTACAAACCTTAACAAACCCCTTAATCATAATCTATCATAGGGTAGACACATTATGTTATATTATTTTGTTATCTTCTAGAGTATTGAGAGTTCAATATATAAAACTTTCTTTTCTAATTTGTTTAACAACTGTTGACTTCAATTTTACTAGCTCCATTAAACCCATAAACAATCATTGACAACATATAATAATATCATATCTTATTCATACATCATATCAATCTTAGATGAATTTTTATTTCCTAAAAAGTCAAACATATATAAATAAAAAATGGCAAAACTCTACAGAATAAGCTCTACACTAATGGCTGCCCTTTTTCTTGTTTCTGCATCAGTTCAATTTAATGATCCAGGTATCCCTTATTCCCTTAACATGACCTTAACCTTACATAATAAACTATAGTATAACTTAAGCACATTCATTATGATTTTACAGTATTAATTAATATTTTCTTGTGTTTTATAGAATGGTATTTCTGGATTCCTCTGTATTCTTGTGGTGCTTATGTTAACCTGATGAGCAGCTTAGCAACTGTTTCATTAAAAAGAAGTAAATCAACAGGTAAACTAACACTTTGGCTAGGGATATTCTTGCTTACTAAGGTTCTTTTGGAAGACTACTTTGGTGACATGATTGGGATTTGGTCTCTTGATATGAGACATAGATTGGTTAGAGAAAAGATTGGAAGTGGGTTAGTCACTTCTTCTATGATTTTGCAATTATCGTCAGAGATGGATCCTAGAAAGAATATGGAACTCGGATCATACATCGAATGTGGTAATGTTTTTGGCCAAGCACATGTTCTCTGAAGTTGATATTTTGGATAGAATACATCCGTTGTATATAAGTTTTTGTTGGGGTCGATTAGTTAACTGGGTGATGTTATTGTAGGGATGGCAATTTTGGTGGGGATTAGCTATGGCCTCTCCCTTGTCTTTCTACTGCATCATGAAAAAGAGATGATGTTTTGAATCTTCTAATCTATCCAGCTGTTGAAGATAATGTCCCAAATTTTGCTACAAAATGTTCTATTTTCATGTCTAATTTCAATAAATAGATAATAATGTTCTTGTGAATGTATGTATAGTGGAATCATGTTGTTTGAGATACAGAATTTGCTCAAAATACTTGGAAAAAATGCACCTTTGATGTAGTTAAGTATTCAAATCCTGATTCACATATTAGATTACTTACAACAACAAATAGGAAGCAACAAAGGAATTGTACAATGAAAAACTAGCCCTTGATACTCTTACAAACAAAATACTTCCGAGTTACGAGTACGATCATTAGTACTTCGTAGTTGGAACAACTGTTTTACATGAAAAAAACTTGAACATCCCATTTCAAGAACTCTCATCCACGCCTCAATTCGTCGCCATCTCAATCCTGCAAAGGGTTTATCAGGCAAACAAAAGGAAACAGATAATAGGGTATGTAAATTGTTACCAACGCTAGAATTTACAGGAGCAACACCCTAGTTGTATTGCATATTAGTGTCACTCCAGTAGAATCACTGATATAAACTAAAATCAAGAGACTAATTTCTCCAAAGATACTACGAAATTTCTCTGCTTCTCTAGAAATGCAACTAATCAGATAATAGAAACGGAAAACTGTATATACAAAGAAGCGAAAGGGGAGAGAATGGTACAATCAATTTACAAGAAGGCAATAGGCTCCCGACTGCATAGCTCAGCTCTATTCAAGCAGTAAATGGAAAAATTAGCAGCGCGACTACAAGACCATTACAAAGGCCCTTAAAATCAGCATCTGTGATGCAGCTGATTGCCTGGGCATTGATGCTAATAATTATTAGTAAAGGCGACCCCTACAAGTCGAAGCTCCACACAAGCAGGGGCATCCGTCTCCAGCCTGTAGCTGATAGTGAAAGTCAAAACAAAGTTCTTCCCCGGCAGCTATCTGTCCCAATATAGACAAGTTACAAGTGAAAAGTGATGGCAATGAAGGTTGGAAAAAAATTATAATAATTGTTCATCAATCAATTAACTTTTTAAAAGCACGTAGAGTGCCACAGAAGCAGTTAAAAAAAAAAAGTTAAAAAAATTTAAAGGTTAGAATGATTCTATCGCATGCTTGGATTTGAGGTAAATAAATGTCGGTAGATCATCACAACAGCGGATTACTCAAAATTTCAGGGAACAATATAACATAAGTATGTTCATGGGTTCAAAGTTAGTAGGGCTAAATTACAGGAATTTGTTAATGGATGGAAGTGGAGGTGGCGGTGGTGGAGGACTCTTAAGTCTTAACCCATATGAGATACAAGATTATTTGAATGCTTGGATTTGCGGTAAACATATAACGGTATATATGAGAACACGATAAAGAGAAGGAAGATTGGGTAGATGTGGTGGGTTCAAGGAACACCCCCCCCCCCCCCCTTCCTCCCTAAACCACCACCTCCACGACTCAATCCATCACCCTTTTCTTTATTTTCTCTTCTTACACGCACAACACAAAATTAAGCATGCCTAAGAGAGAGTTTATTTTTGCCATATAATTATAGAAATTTCAACAATAGACAATACCCCTAACTAAATTATTACGGAGTACGTTCTAAGCAAAGCCTTAATATGAAAAGGTGAGAATAAATAAGAAAACCACTTGCAAAATAGTTTCTCTTAAAGAGTACCCCAGAAAATTATAAAAGATCACTTCATCATTTAATACTTATCATTTTTGATGGAATATTCACTTACATCCTGTTTTGCATAGAAACCAACATGGGCAAGCTGAAAATCCATGCTTTCCACAAGAACTAGGTGACTTTCAAGATTTGGACAGCAGCTACACAAGAAAACATAATTAGAGCACCAGGCAACAAAATCAGATAACACATAGTAAGGGAATTAGATTTATAACAGGAGTATGAAGCAAACATTTAAAAGGGCACGATTAAACATACTATTTAACAATAAACTTAAAATCTGGTTGTATTAGATATCTCAAAAATGTGCACTTGCACTAGTCAACTTTCTATTGCATGTGATTAGCAGCACAATAGTAGCATCATCTATGATACATGATTCTTGTCTTCAATTTGTCTCGTGCAACAGGTTGATGCATCTACCTGTCTTTGTTTAATACGACTGAAGGCAAAAATTCAATACGTAGTAAAAAAAAAATCACGACTCTTGTGCCCAAAATGAGTGAAAATTAAAGAATCTACAAACCAACACCTAGAAGTTCTATCACTAGATCTAGCAGACTCCAAGAAAATGAGTAAGCAATGAAGATCTTTTAACTAACTCTTATAACAAACAGGCTTTCCTTCATAGACAACCTATAATTTTTTTGACAAGAGCAATATTGCAATAACAAGTATACACAGACTTAATTTTTCACTATGCAATAACATATCAAACATAGCAATATTTTGCAGCTATTCATCAGAGGCATGTTATGTAGCCCCTTTCATGAAACAGTGAATCTAAAAGAAAAGGCTAAGTTATTTAACCTAAAATATGTGCCAGATTAAAAAATAATGTTTCACCAAGTAGCTTAGGACCACTGCTTCCTCACCTGTGATTTATGAAACGCGAAACATTTCCATATTTTGTAGCATCAATAAAAAACTTGGCTTCCCCTTCAATCAATTCACTCATGTGCTTTGTATGGATCGCCACGTCATAGATATAATCACAACCTTCATTTTTACACCTAACAACACAAAAGGACTTATGTAAGTGCACAATAGCGATTCCATATGGTAGCGACCGACGATGGATATGATATGAACCTTTTGCGCCTTCTGTCTACTTCCTGTTCATTTAATATTTCACCAACAAATTCACATACAAATGTGCCGCGCAAAATATTTTCACCGGCTCGGAGTGCCCAACCCTGCCAATAAAGCTGGAAGAGTCAATTGATGCTCCAATCGTCAAAACAATCTCAAAACATTAAATAATAGAATAAAATAAAATAAAACCTTTTTCAATGTTTTGAAGACTTCCATCTTTACTCTAACCCCGTTCTGCAATACCCTATTTGGGCAGTTGCTACTACACTTACACAAGTTATTGCATTCATAGATGAGATAATTATCCTGCACATCACCAAGAATTGGAGAAAATCTTTATTACTTCAGTAACACAGCCAAGTTTTAAATAGAACAGAGAGTAATAAGGGTTATATAGATGAAGTTTGCATCAACATTTTAAAGACCAACATAAAAGTGGTAGATATCAATCTCAAATAAAGGTTGAAAAGGACATTTATCGCAAACTAGGTATTTTCAGAAAGCAAAGAACAATAAAAAAGGATTTTAAAAGAAATAATAAATAGGAACACAAGAATTAGTCATTTCTAAGTTGCAACTAATTCTACACGAAAGCTATAACCAATGAGATTAAAGAATACAAAGAGTAAAGAGCTCGTATTCTCTAAAATGAGCACCTTCAGAACTAGTCGACCTTCATCATCATAAGGGAATCTTCCTTCCATAAGCTTTCCATCGATATCCTTCGCATACTCGAAATCATTGTTGAACAGGTATACGTGATCACATGTCTCAGGATAGCAAGTTGATTGTGAACAGCCACACCCTAACTGCAAATTCTGAAAGCAAGAATAAATTACACACACAAAATAAGAAATAAAAAATAAAAAATAAAAATAAAGGGGAAGGAGAAGAAGAAAAGGATCCTTTTGTTCTCAATCAATGAAATTAAGCTACTCCCTCCGTCCTTTATTTTTCCCCAATTTCCTTTTTAGTTTGTCCCTTTACTTTTGCCTAATTCTATTTTTGGACACATGGGATCATACCTTTATTCTCACAACCACCCCATTAACCCCACCGTTTTTCTCTCTCATCATCTTTTCCAACCAAATACTCCCTCCATGTTTAAATAAATGAAACGTTTTCCTTGTACACGTATGTCAATGCAACACTTTGAATGATAATATCTTTAAGGCCTCATTCACTTCACCTTATTTTTGCTGAACTGAAATTATCTTTGCCGAAGATAAATTATTTTTACTGAACCAGAAATTAATTTTACTGAATTAAAATCATTTCTACTAAACTGAAATTATTTTTACTGATTTTCTATTATATTTCTTCTTTAAGTTTACTGATTTTAGCTGTTTTACTGCATATTGATTTTTAAAGGTGAAGTAAAAAGGGCCTAATTATCAATAAGTAAAAATTATAACAATTGAATATTAATAAACTATTCATTGAGACGATTTCAACAAATACCCACAAGTCTATATTTATTCTTATGTATAAATCAAATAATCACAAGACTATATTTACACAAAGTGATTTAGATTAATAGCGCAAAAGTCAAAACGTTTCATTTATTTAAGTACGGAGGGAGTATTAATAAAGTAACATTACCTCTAAGGAGCAAAAAAAATAAAGGACGGAAGGAGTAGCTTTTAACGACATGTAGATCTAGTTATTGGACATGTCGGGTCAGGGTTGGTGCGGGACAATTGCGGGCCGGGTCAAAGAGGTTCACATTTCATAGGGCCAATGCGGGTCTAAGGGTCAATAGTGGGCCAATAATGGACGGGCCAACAAATTATCAATTAAAATAAATATTGGACAAAACCATTATGAAGTATATATGAATACGAAAATATCTATGTAATTTTTATTACATTATCTATTTTCTTAATCTATTAAATTGGACAAACATTTTGGCCCTACATTGACCCAACCCAATAAGAGCCTTGTCCATTAAGAACCCTTTAATTTAGCCCAAGCCCTATTATCATTGGGCTACCCTGCCCATCAACCAAGTTTGACGTCAAGGCATTATCTTCAAAGAAGAGTGGAGGTAGGTAAAGCACAACTTCCAGCAATTTTATTAATTCACAAATGTCCAGGCACACATCTCTAATGCCAAAAGTAAGATTGACATTTCACACTTCCACAAATGCATGATTCAGGAAGTTACTTATATTTCCTTCCTTTCTATCCAAATCCTATCTGCTCTCATAAATTTGGTGTAAACTGAAAGTTGTTTAAAACCTTTTCTCTTTTTCTTTTTCTTTTTTTTTTTTTTTTTTTTTTAATCCAATTCCTCCCAACTAAATAAGCTGTACATATAAGCCATAAAGTGATCCACTTAAATAATGATATTAGTGAAACATACATAAACAGTTTTCAAGTGGGGAAAA